AAATGGGCTTGACGACACCTAAGCACAACATGTTAGGAGCACATACGGGAGGAGTGGTTTCTCAGTGGGAGAATCCTTGCCCTCCATGCGAGAGACCCGGGTTCCATTCTCGGCCAATGCACCTCTGGCGCAGCCGCTGCCCATCTGTCTGTGGAGGCTTATGTGTGGCTATGAGGCTGAACAGACTGGAGCAGACCTGCCAGACTAAGACGGACTAGGAAGAAAGGCCTGGTGAACTCCTTTGGGAAACCAGCCAATGAAAACCCTATGGATCATATCAGTTTGATCATGGGAATGATGCAGGCTCAGGCAGTATTTCACCCCAATGTGCATGGGGTCGCCCTGAGTGGGACCTGACTCCACAGCAGCTAACACGACAATAACAAGTTTAGAGCTCAGTGCATGCTCAGGCGATGGCAACACCCCCAGGACTTGTGCGCTTGGCTAACGGGTGGCTGTCAGCCCTGCCGTACGCGGTAAGAAACAACCAGTGAGGCAGAACACTGACCTTCTCCACCAGCTCTTCAGGGGCCTGCTCTTCCAGGAGGCGAATTTTATCTTCGAGGCACTTCTTCAAAAGTTCTATCCTGCTTTTACTCTTGGAGCGCTGCTTTCTCCCTTTGGACTGTTGCTGGAGGGTGGCAGAGAACACATGGGCAAGAAAACGATCATCAGTAAGCTCATGCAGGCCCCACCTCTGCACGCAAGAGAAGTTTCTGCAGCTCACAGAATGGCGGGACTCTGCCTAGGCTAGACTGGGGAGGAAAAACATATGTTGCCTGGGAACAAGCTCAGTGTCCGGGTCTTTGGTCTTCACAGACATTGGTGGGTTCCTGGTAGCAAAGAGCGGAGAGGTGAGTAGGCTAGGGCAGAACCGGAGCTCTGGAGTCAGGTGGACAGTGGACCCACCGGGACCCACCACCTACGGTCAATCCCTCTGGGCGGAGAACACAATGGATGAGGTCCTCGCCCTGTGAAACTCACAGCACTCCAATACTGCCCCAAAGGGTGGCGCTTCAAACTCACGCAGAGGCGCCTCAGAAGAAAGGCCTGGCGATCTATTTCCAATAGGCCATAGCCTTGAAAACCCTATGGAGCAGTTCTACTCTGCACACCTGGGGTCACCATGAGTTGGAACTGACTCATCTAACAACATATTATGCTACATGATGTTGTTATGTTTAGGTTGGAGCCATGGTGGCACAGTGGTTAAGAGCTTGGCTGCTAACCAAAAGGTCAGCAGTTCGAATCCACCAGCTGCTCCTGGGAAACGCTATGGGGCAGTTCTACTCTGTCCTACAGGGTCGCTATGAGTTGGAATCGACTCGACGGCTACAGGTTTTTGGTATGTTTATTTTATGCTACGTTCTTGCTGTAATCCTATGAAAACCACTTGCTTTCACATCCACTCTGACTCATGGCGAACCCATGTGTGTCAGGCCAGAACTGTGCTCCACTGGGTTTTCAATGGCTGACTTTTCAGAAGTAGATTGCCCGGCCGTTCTTCCAAGGTGCCTCTGGGTAGACGCAACCCTTCAACCTTTTCAGTTAGCAGATGAGCACATTAACCATTAACACCACTCAGGGGCCTAAAAAGCATACCATCTTGGGGAGAGGTTCCCCATTAGGTTATGTCGGAACCTGGCATTTCTAACAGCATATGGAGAAAGAGCTCCAGGCCTGCTGGCTCCACTTTCAGGAAGCGGAGTTGAGATATCGCTGCTTCCTCCCAAATCAGACAACCGTTGTTTGACCATTTGCACCACCCAGGGACTCCTACCATAAAAAAATAACATACTATAATGTAATATAATGTGGTACAATGTGACGATAACATACTATAATGTAATATAATGTGGTACAATGTGATAACATACTATAACGTAATATAATGTGTACAATGTGATAACATACTATAGTGTAATATAATGTGGTACAATGTGATGATAACATACTATAACGTAATATAATGTGTACAATGTGATGATAACATACTATAATGTAATATAATGTGTACAATGTGATACAATGTGATACAGTGCGATACAATGTAATATAATAACATAATAAACAGAATAACATAACACAACAACACAACACATAAATATCCTAACCACATGATATACCATGACATAATGTAATGGAACATACATCAACAATGTAACATGACATTATAATTTAACAGCACAACATGACATAACACGACACAGCATCACATAACGGAACGTGACCCAACACAATACCCGTAAGATGTTCAGTGCAATATGTGCCGGCTGGTTGCCCCCATTGAGGGCTGGTCTCTTTCCCTTCCCAGCTCTCCCACCCGCCCTTTCTCCTCTTCTTCACTACACCGCTGAGGTCCCATGGTCCCCTAGAGCCTGCTGTAGGTCTGGACTCAGGCCTGCCCACTACACTGTGTCCCGGGCTCCCAAGCTATCATGTACGCCGGCCATTGTGACATGACAGGACCCCCACTCTCAAAAGGAAAGCAAACACACACACAAGTAATTCAGACATTAGGATCTGTCTGGGGACTCAAGTGCTCTGAGTTCAGATGCCCCATTTGGGGAGGCAGTGGTGGTTCAGTGGGAGAATTCTCGCCTTCCATGTGGGAGACCCAAGTTCGAATCCCAGCCAATGCAGCTAGTGCAGAGCCACGACCCATCTGTCAGTGGAGGCTTGCATGTTGCTATGATGCTGAACGGGTTTCAGCAGAGCTTCCAGACTAAGGTGGACTCAGAAGAAAGGCCTGGCAACCTACTTTCAAAAATCAGCCCATGAATACCCTATGGATCACAACAGTCCAAGCCGTAACCACTAGCAAAAAATCCCCCATTTGACAGAGGAGGAGACTGAGGCCAGAAGTCAGAGCTGACTTGACAGTAGCTGACAAGACTAACAAAGTGGCAGACAGAAAGGGTGAGGGCACAGTCGGAGAGGCCAGATCCCAAGGGGTCAACAGCTCGGGGTGGCCCCCCCTCTGCAGTCCAGCGGGCAAGCCGGTGTCCCTCCTACCTGCAGTTCGGGGGCAGCCAGGGCCTGGTCCAGTCTCAGGAACTCGGCTTCTCGACACGCAGTCTGGAATCGCTGCAGCAACACCCGGGCCCGGATTTTGGGGAGGGCCAAGCTCCGGTCCATCTGAGCGAAGCAGCCCTCGGCCTCCTGCCTCATTCTGAGCAGCTCCTCCTCAGACAGGGAGGCGGCTGTGGAGCAGAGCTTCCTGGAAGAGGGGGGACAGTCGCACGCTCTTGTCAAGGGAACAAAGAGCGGATGCTAGTAGGGGGAGGGGACCTATAAACTCAAAGCTCAAAAGGAGTTAAATCCATGTGGGGAGAGAAGGGCAGTGTCTCTTCATCATGCATGCCAAACCCAAGTGTTTCCTGAGCACTGTCTTAGTATCCTTGTGCTGCTATAACACAAATACCACAAGTGGGTGGCTTTAAAGAACAGAGATTTATTTTTTCACACCTGTGGAGGCTGGAAGTCCAAACCAGGGTCTCAGCCTTATTGATTCCTTCCTTGTCAGTAGCCCCGGGAGTTCCTTGGTTCCTGGGCTTGTAGATGATCCTCACAGGGTGTCTGTCCTCCCCCGTGTATGGGCACCTCTGTGTCTAATCTGCTCTTTTTAGAACTCAGAAGTGATCAGAATTAGAACTCTCCCTACTTGGGTACAATCCAATTAATGAAGCAAAGAAAACCCCATTTCTGAACAGGATCACATCCACAAATATAGTTTAAAAAAAAAAAAACCTGTTGCTGTCTAGTTGAGTCCAACTCATAGCGACCCTATAGCACAGAGTCCAACTGCTCCATAGGGTTTCCAAGGAGCCCCCTGCTGGATTCGAACTGCCGACGCTTTTTTTGGTTAGCAGCCGTGATTCTTAACCACTATGCCACTAGGGTTTCCTCCACAGATACAGGGGTTAGGATTTCAACACATATTTTGGGGGGACACAATTCGGTCCCTAATACGACATCATGTTGGAGCTGAGAATTTAAGGTTGAGTAAGACGAGACTGTGAGGATGTCTCTGAGGAGGCAATAGGCTGGACTCGCAGTAGAAAGCCACGCAGAAACAAAGAGTTGTCCATCGAGCCTGGTCAGCAGCTTGACAACCAGTGGCACAGAGGTGGGTGGTGAACTCAGCTCAGGGGGTCAAGGAAAAGGGGTCTCTTGCACTGTGCTTTAAAGGATGATGACCCACAGTTACCATTAAAAAAAAAAGTGCCTTTGAGGTGACTCCAAGGCATGGTGACCCCATGAGTGTCAGAAAAGAACTGTGCTCCAAAAAGTTCAGTGGCTAATTTTTCAGAAGTAGATGGCCAGGGCCTTTCTTCCCAGGCACCTCTGGGTGGACTCCAACTTCCAACATTTCAGTAGCAGCCCAGTGTATTAACCGTTTGCAGCACCCAGGGACTCCAGCTATCTGTTCTTGTTGTTGTTAGGTGCTGTTGGATCGGTTCTGACTCACACGACTTCCAAGTGGAGGCTGGTGGATTTGAACTGCCTACCTTCTGGTTAGCAGTGGAGCTCTAACCACTACACTGCCAGGGCTATCATTTAGTAGCACCCACCGGGGCCCTGGTGGTGCACTAGTTAAGTGTTTGGCTGCTAACCAAAAGGTCAGTGGTTCAAATCCACCAGCCTCTCTTTGGAAACCCTATGGGGCAGTTCCACTCTGTCTTATAGGGTCACTATGAGTCAGAATCAACTCAAGGGCAATGGGCTTGGTTCTGGTTTTGGTTTTTTTTATTACATGTCAAAGCAGCCCGGGTGGCACAGTGGATAAGCGTTTGGCTACTAGCCAGAAGGCCAGTGGTTCCAATTCGCTCCCTGGGAGAAAGATGTGGCAGTGGCTCCTATAAAGATTGACAGCATTGGAAACCCTATGGGGCAGTTCTACTCTGTCCTATAGGGTCGCTATGAGTCAGAATTGACTTGATGGCAACGGGTTTACTACGTGCCAGAAACCATGTTGAGTGGTTTACATACTGTCTTAGTTTCTTAGTCTTGCTGTAACAGAAATACCACAAGTGGGGGGTTTTAAAGAACAACAATTTTTATTCTCTCACAGTTGAGGAGGCTAGAAGTCCGAAGTCAGGGCGCCAGCCCTAGGGGAAGGCCCTCTCTCTCTGTCGGCTCTGAGGCAAGGGCTTTGTCTCTTTAGCTTCTGCTTTCTAGTTCCTTGGAGATCTCCATGTGTCTTGGCATCTATTCTTACCCCATCTCTCTCTCTGGCACTTGTTTAATCTCTTTTTATATCTCAAAAGAGACTGACTCAAGATACACCCTACACTAATCCTGTCTCATTAGCATAACAAAGACAACCTATTCCTAAATGGGATTATAACCACAGGCATAGGCCATTAAAACCTTTTGCCGTCCAGTCAATTCTGACTCATAGCGACCCTATGGGACAGAGCAGAACTGTCCCATAGGGTTTCCAAGGAGCAGCTAGTGGATTCCAACTGCCGACGTTCGGTCAGCTCTTTAACCACTGCGCTACCAGAGCTCCACCGCTGGCATGTTGTTGTTGTCAGGTGCCATGAGTTGGCACCACTCATAGCGACTCTGTGCACAACAGAACGAAAAACTGCCCAGTCCTGCACCATCCTCATAATCACTGACATGCTTACGTCCATTGTTGCAGCCACTATCTCAATCCATTTTGTTGAGGGTCTTCCTCTTCTTTGCTGACCCTCTACTTTACCAAGCATGATGTCCTTCTCCAGGGACTGGTCCCTCCTGAAAACATGTCCAAAGTATGTGAGACGCAGTCTTGCCATCCTTGCTTCTAAAGAGCATTCTGGTAGGACTTCTTCCAAGACAGATTTGTTCATTCTTTTGGCAGTCCATGGTGTATTCAATATTCTTCGCCAATACCACAATTCACCTGGTTTTTTACCGCAGGCATAGAGGTTAGTATTTACAACACATATTTTTTGGGGGCATAATTCAACCGTAACACACTCTGAAGGGAAGAGGGCACAGACCCACTTTTTGAGCCTCACGGAACCCAAGGAGGTAACAGGGAGGTCAGCCAGGGGCTTCTGGACACACTCTCCTCCATGATCCAGGGGAGAGCAATTCAAAAAGAGGTCTTCATCTTTCCTTCCTGCTTTGGACAATGTGTCTGTTCATTTATTCATTCAACAAATATTCTTCTGCAGACAAACTCGGATTTGTCTGATTATTATGAAAATGTCCCATCAACATTGGTTGCATAAAATACGCTTCTGAGAATGCTTCAGAATGCAGAAATATATGCAGAAGGCCTACAGAAGGAAGCCATGGCCAGGCTTAAAACTAGTTACCATCGAGTTAACACCGACTCATGGCGACCCCATGTGTGTCGGAGCAGAACTGTGCTCCATGGGGTTTCCAGTGGCTGATTTTTCAGAAGTAGATCACCAGGCCTTTCTTCTGAGGCACCTCTGGATGGACACCAACCTCCAACTTTTCAGTTAGCAGGTGAGCAGGGTAACCTTTTGCACCACCCAGGGACTCCTTAAACCAAACCAAAAACCAAACCCACTGCCATCAAGTCTATTCTGACTCATAGCAGCCCTAGAGCACAGAGTAGACCTGCCCCATAGGGTTTCCAAAGCTGTAAATCTTTACGGAAGCAGACTGCCACATCTTTCTTCCGAGGAGCGGCTCATGGGTTCTAACTGCCGACCTTTCGGTTGGCAACTGAGTGCTTTAACCACTGCGCAACCAGGACTCCTTCAGGGACGCCTTACCACACCCAAATCTAAATGATAGAATGTGTGACTGTGGCTCAATTAAAAAGTTCTCTTGTGGAAATAGAATAGTTCCTTCAGGGCTGACATGGGCCCTCAGCTGAAAATGGTTGGAAGATTCCAAGCCCTCATCACTACACATCCCCCTTAGGGGTTCCTCACCCCATGTTGCCCACCAATTTTGTATTGGGTGACAGAACTGCAGCCACTCCCATGTAACTTGTCTCATGTAGAACCTTTGCCCTTTGCTGGTAATGTGGAATCCACAGTGAAAGCAACTCTAAAATTAATCCAAGTCTTTATTCTTGCCTTCCTTCAAACCAACCAGCCACTTTTAATCGTCAGCTATGTTGAATGTATCAAAATAATACAGAAATAGTGAAGACAAGCCTTTCCCCTGAAGGGACTTTAATATCAAGGCAGGAAATTAGGAAAGAGTCTCCAAGATGTGCTTTCTATGACACAAATATTCATACTCATTACTCCTTACTTTGTCCAACCAGGCATAGGGCAACCCCGTCTTGCCTGAAATTGGGAAGCTTATAAAAATGTGTTTCAAAACTATTGTGCAAAGGCTATTTTTATACAATGCCTCAGGAAGAAAGACTGCAACCTTTTAGAATCTTAAACAAAAGTGAAGTAAGTAAGCAGACTTCCAACAGTCTGTGTGGTTGAGTGACCCTCTTTAACCATTAGCAAATCAAGAGCTTTCTGATAGCAAAGTGAGATTTCTCTCTTCCTGTTAAACGGCCGAATCAGCAGCAACAT